CGAGAAATTCCGTATTTACTCACGATGGGGGACCTTCGTCTCTCTAATCTAATCGAATCTAATCAGAGTCTCATCCGTGCCCTGGACTCACTTGGAGGGGATATTCATTCCGACGAGTTCGTTCCATTCCTCCTCCTCAAATATTGAAACTGAAGGAAGAATATCCACAGAACGCTTGACGAACTGGCTCGAAGGCCGAGTCGCCAAGTACTTCGCGGGACGAACGAGCATCGCATTGTCAGCAGGACTCTGGGACGAAGGTCCGAGCAATGGAATTCGTGAGGATGAGCTGGAGCAGGTCCTGGCTGCGTTTGCTCGACCCGTAAATATCCGCTTTCTAGAGTCCGTCCACGGACAAGATTGGGCAGAGGTTAGGTTTCGAATGCTATATTTGGTCGATGTCCAGCGATTTGCGAACTCGCTCTGGATTTCGAGAGTTCGTGAGGTTATGCGTGAGAGGGAGGTGGGCATACTTATCCTCGTAGCGTTGTCCACAACATCCGGGTCGTCAAGATCGTGACACGGTGAGATGTCGGAATACGATTGAGTCATGAGGAGACCACTACGGACGAAGATATCTACCGCTGCCTGGACAGTACTGACGTCAAAGGGACCTGACACTGACGTCACTTTAGACTTTTCCTTAAGTGACGGAGAATTCTACAGTGACATCACACCGAAAGAGCTATGTCATTCCGACGGTTGAGCTGACTCCTCGGATCTTGTTCGACTGCATATGAGCTGCTGTCGCGGCGAACTCGTGCATCAACCGAATGCATGACTTCGAAACTTGCTAGTTTTCGCAATCGAGTTTCTCCCGCTCCTCTGATCATAATTTATTGAGTATACATGATACATGAAGTTTATTTTCATCGCTGAAAGCGCAAAAGCAAAAAGAGCGTTGGAGAAAACAGCAAAAACGGTCGAGTGAAAAGCGAGTGAGTGAAACAGCGACGTCGTCCCGATCTTGTCCCGGATCTCGTTCCATTCTACCACTTGCGGTGAAACTGCGCATAGACGACATAGAAGACTCCCACTTTCCTACTTAAACCCATTCATGTTGATTCATCTAATGGTTTCCGCTCTAGAAGACATCCGGCTCAATCGAGCAGTATCACTTCTAGCGAAAATATCCCAATAGAACAGCAGTCTCCATTGACAGGGCAGGTTTCGGCGTGAATGAGCCATCGACGGGCAGCACCCAATCGACGGCAGCACTTCCGAGTTCAGGCATTCGGGTACCCGCGTCGCGGAGAGTCGGAAGCCCCTCGTGCAGCCCGTTTGCGTGAATATTCAGCACAGTATAAGAATTTATCCGGTCAATTCACTATTGATGCCAGCATGAGGAAGCAGACTCTTTCCTCCCACTGGTGGACGGGAGGAGTGAACGGGTAGTTCCCGCTAGACGGACGGGTTGCGATGCGTCGACGAATTGACGGGCATGCTCTTTAATCATAAGCTTGACGGTGAACATAATATGGTCTTACAGGCTATCGTATGTTTGAATGGTATCGCGTCCTAAAGGCTCCGTCATACTATACAAGAGCTTGAGCAGCCTCCGGAAGGAAGCGCCGAAGCAGCGGACGGATGTTCGTGGAAACGATAATCGGAGATCGATACTCGGAGAATCGATAATCCGGAAACCGGGGCGGAATCGCGCCGCGTGCACGCGCGCGCTGACCACTCGGCCACCGCGCGGGCGATCACTTGAGGAACATTTTTTATGATGGAACGAATGTCATGCAATAATATAAATACACCAGCCGTTGAGCGCAGCCGGAGGCTGCGATCACCGGTCGCCGATATAGAGGACGATATCCGCCCTACATAATTAAATCCGTGCGTTTCGAAACACAATATGTAGAAGTTTAGCGTACCTTAGTACCATATAGTACCACATTAGTTTCGTGGTCAATCAGGACGGTTTTTCGACAATCACTGGGCCGAGGGATGGGAGATGAGAAAAAAAACATCTTTTTGCACACCGCGGGATCATTTCGCGACCGCCGAATCACGTGCGCGCCGGAGTCGGTGAGGAGAGAGAGCCGAGAAACGGCTGAAGCGCTTGCGCTTTTATTCTAAGGGGGGATCATTCGTGAACGAAGTCGAACTACTCACCGTGTTTTCGTTCGAATTGTCCACATTCGGGCACTGTAAGTATGACGTTTGCGTTATCTTTCTCGAATTTGTCTTTTCACCGTGTTTGATCTCCATCTGATCGATCAGGGGAAGCTCCTACCATGATATACCACATCTGCCTTGATTTACTCGTTAGTAGAGGATTCACGAATCACGCCATCAACGCGACCCAGTTCAGCTATCATTTCGCGACCCATCTTTGCCTCACAAGCAGTCCTTCCTCACCCACCTCGGTGATGATTCATGACCGAACTTGCACCTGTATTCTTCCCTCTGGAGTTTTCTACTGTGCATCGAGCTTCCCCCGCAGACCCCGACATTCCGTCACGAGCAAATCTTACGCAGCGTACGGAGTGAAAACGAGACAGAATGCGTCCGACTTGAGAATCTGACAATGTGACGGAAGGCTTTCCGCTCCGATGGGAAACACCGCTCTTCATCGAAAATTCCTGCTACCAATCTACGCTAGGCGTCATCCGAGATATCTAGCGGGAGGATCATTCTCACTCAGTACAGACCTGCTCTCTCGGATATTAAATGGTGGCACATAAGAAGGACTTCGGTGGAACCGATCCAACCTCTGGATATCGTGCAAGAATGCCTGTTCCTGGACACATAAAAAAGGATTCGGCGGAATCGCTCCGGAGAAAGGATTTTTTTGTGAGAGGAATCCCCTCCGTAGCTTGCGGAGAAAATCGAGGTCCCCGGGTTCGCCCGACAATCGCGGCCAATACGCAGCCTGTTGAGTGCCCTTTGCAACCCAAATGTGTTCGTTTTTCTCGGGTCAAGGGAGCGCGAGCGAGCTCTTGGAATCAGGGCAAAGCCTGGTATTCGCCTGTCACAGTCTTCGAACGGAAGACTCTGTGGCGAAAGGCCGAACCAGTAAAGCAAACACGCTCTGTTCACTATTCGCGAGCACGTCGACTAGAGAAATTTCATTTGGAAATATGGAAGTCACAAGCACAAACGTATACAGGAGCTTTCTCGGAGCAATCGGATTTGGACGGCCACTTTGTGGGCTCGAATATGCTATTCGAAGCGGTGCGGCTCGGCGATGAAGAGCTGGCGCTCCCAGAGTACCGATTCGCAAAAACGACCTCCGATGGGAATTCCTTGTGTCAAACACGTATGAATTCATTGTATTTCGTCGCAGATCGGATACTCGACTTGATTATTCATCTGGGACGACCTCGATTCCGATATCTTGTCTGACTTTGTTGTGATTCCTTAGCGAAAGATCGATCGAAGTAAAACATATGTCTTCCTCAGGAATATATAGATTCGTCCGGAATCCGTATAACCAGGTCGCGGACTCCGGAGGAGGGCTTAAGTTTGCTTCGTTTTCGTTCCGTGTTTCTTTCTTTCAGAAACGATGTGTTCAAAGTGTAATCATCAGTTGCTCAGAAACTCAATTCGAGTAGGATTGGCGAGACACGCCCTAATCCGTCCTTGAAGAGCGCCTCCACGTGGCGTTTGTATACAGAAACTCTCAGCGAGGATAGTGTAGTCGATTTTCGCCTTGCAGTCTCTTCTCTCGTTTGGAAAATAACTCAATAAATTCCTCCCAGCCGACTCCTCCGCTTTGTCGAAATCGGGCCGACATCACTTCTCTGTGGATTCCTACATGGAATTCGATATAGGTATCCCTGATTCTCGTATGTTGAGATGGACGACTTAGTTCGACAAGAATAGACTTTTGAAGATTTCTTGCTCTCGTTCTGACTGCTCCCGGCTTGCCCCCTCCCCCTCCCCCCCCCCGTCCTGGGTCAACAATCACCGTAAGGGTCCGTGAGGACAAGATGGGACGAAGAACTGATATGCTGTCAGTGTGATTCCATGATGCTCAGAAATTTGTCGCTGCCGCACAATCATGTGCTGTGGGATTTCGGCGTTCGAAAACACCAGGGAAATATGATACAATCAATGAAGTCAGGAATCTCTCATCAATGTTATCAAATTATCATGAAGGACAATTTCCGCTTCCATCTCGATTCGATTACGCCAAAAGTTGCGGGAAATCCGCACACCCGAACGGACTGATGTCTCTCGTCGGAGCATGCATCATCAACGCCCACCGAGGAGCGGATATCAAGGTTGGCAGGAATTCTCTCCGACGAGAACCGATGCGAAAGGAATAGCCCGCAGACGAAGGTAGGTGAGTGCTTCCGGGAGACGCGAGGCTTTGATCTCAAAATAAGTACATACGTTCATCCGTTGCATTGTTGAGTAGGTGCTCATCGTCCCCGTACGTATCTAGTTACTCTGACGCTATTTTTTTCCCGGAGCACCCCGAGGAGAAAGCTTAGCCAAGGATAGGAGATTATAATCCATTGACTCATGCCGCGTAAATGTTGTCTCGAGGTGGGATTGCTCGGGTGGTTTTGGAGTGGTTTTCGAACTTGTTTTCCGGCTCGAGCAGAAGACGGAAAATCCCTCGCTACGTCACGACATCGATCACTACGTGGAAACATCAAGCGATCGTGAATGCTGCGGATGGATTCCTCTCCTCGAGAAACTTTCTCGAATTCTTCCATAAGGAATTGAACTTAAGTCTCCCTGTCGATTCCGAAGCTTCCATGACAAGATCTTAGTCATCTTATTGACTTCAGCAATGGAAAAAGAGTTTGATGAGTCGGTTCGAGATAACGTCCGGTCAAACGACAGCAAAGCAACGATAGGACTCGCAAACCCGGACAGCGCTTCACTACAACGGAATCAGTGTAGGCATTTTCAACTCATAAACCAATTATGTGATGTGATAGTGTGCGAGACGATCGCGGTTTCGCGATGACGCGTCTAGCTCAGACTCATAAACGGCTCACGGATAGGGACCTGGCTATAAAGAGGCTTGCTCGCAGTCCCAGCGACCACACTGACCGAGTAGCTTTCTACTGAACGGACACTGTGCTCAAGGAAAATCATGAGATCCCTAGTTTTGTTGCTCGTCCTGCCCGCAGTGGCGTACGGCGCTCTCATCTTCGGCGGCGCCAATACGGCCAAACGTTGCAGCGGAGTCTTGGTTAATGGAACTGTCAAGGACAACGTAGCTGACCCCGATGATTGCACAATGTGAGTATCTCATTCTCTTATCCGGAACGTATGTCGAGGTATCGCGATGTGACTTTGGAAGATTCTGACGTGCCCGGAAAAAATGGGGGTCTGCGTTTAACGGTATCTGTCACGTATCGTGAAGGATGAACAATGGAGTTTCCCGAATGGCCTCATCAGACCTCGCCATCGTGCCGTGGCGATGATCTAATTTAGAAGGTCCCCGATTATTTTTATTCTTCCGGTGAAGTAAACCACTTCGGTCGGCGGGAATATTGCCTGGGTCCTTGACTCGGTCAACTTATATTGACTGGCTTGTTATTCTCGTTCTCAGACACTACGTGTGCACTCGTCCCTTCCAAGCGAAGCTGAGGTGCAGAAACGGACAGCATTTCAGCGCGACGGAGAAAAAATGCACTGATCCTTGCACTGCTGCGTGTGACACCAGCCTTGTTTGCACGACTACGGCGGAGCCTGAAGTCTCAACTGAAGGCACGACTGCCGACCCGCTCACTTCAAACGATGCCACCGCTGCTACCGATGCAGCTGCGGAGCTCGAAACGAGCTCCTCGGATTCCTCTTCGGTCTCTGCTTCATCTGATCCCGTCACGGCGGGAGGATCCACGGGAGGACAAACTGTTCCGTCTGGCGAGGATTCCAGCCCGTCGGAGTCTTCTGCGAGGAATTCCAGCCCCACGGAGTCTACTGCGAATACGTCTGACTCGAGCGACGCCACGATTAGCGACTCGCCGACTCCTCCTCAAGATAGCACCGTTCGCGGCTCGACTGGAACCGCTGAGTCGAGAGCCGATGACGATGCAACGACCGAAGGGACTACATCGCAAAGTGTTGAGACGACGACGGCTTTCTGGCAGACAATCGCCAAACACTTCAACCAGCCTCCCTCTACGATTCCTGGATTCAGCGGAACCATCAAGCAGTAGACAGAATCGGACCAGGCCCGTCGCTCGCGATTGATGTAATTTATTCCATGGCTGTCGAACCTCACAAGCGTACTCAATTCCTCATTGTCGATCATCGAACATCACAATAAATAATCAATAAGCAAGCCGCCGTTCCCCGTGTTGGTATGCATCTCCTTATTTAGGCAGTCAGACTGGAAGAGTCCTGTGAGAATCGTTGCCTTCATTCCTCCCCGAAAATCTGGATGCAGAGGAACCAATTAAATTGGGATTCATGCTTCGTATCACACGCGGGAATGCAACCTTTTTGGAATTTGACGCGAAACGTCTCCAGGGGCAAGGGAAGGGAGCATCGGCTCGATTCGCCGTATCCATCCCCTCTCCGTCGTATGCCCCTCGGGGGAGAGCCCGCGACGCGATACAAGTGTCTGGTCCAGATCAGAGCATCCGCAGAATCCGACTGATTGACAGCGAACGCAAAAGTTCACGGTGTCGATAATTGGGCTGTCGACGACATCCCCTGCGGCCTATGCCGCGGAGCATAGAGTCGTTACCTCCATTGCGACTCTTCTCGCGCAACCACCTGTCACTCCTATTCTCGTTCCGACCCACTGCGATGCACTTACCTCTCGCAGTCGGGAGCAAGAACCATCTCGCTGCGCGAGACCACGGCGGAGGCGTCACGGTATGTGTACATCAAGACGCAGGGTCGCTTCCGGTCGTGTAGCGGAAGTCTGATGTCGACACGTATGAATGGCAACATTCACAATCGTTTTCGAATCACCGACGAACATCCGGGAGCTCTCGATGTCAAGTGATACCTCGAGACTATTCCGACGTCGTCCTCATATGTACATGCTTTGCTTTTTCGAGAAGCCTCAAGGGGCTCTCGGGTCGGGCGCCGGAGTTCGTTCGACCGACGCGACATCGAGCCCCCTCGGCATCTGCTCAAAGCAAACGGGAACTTTGGGAATTCTAACGTCAACCCGGAGGAGACAATCGGCTTTCTCAACGACGCAGGCGATTGCCGGATACGGACCAGATTGAGATTACACGCTTCGATTCCGTGCTAGACCAGATGGAGGAGGTACAAGAGGGTCGAATCCGAGGCAGCTGCTCAACCTCGAGAACTTCCGCGAATCGAAGCCCTGTTTAATTACCATTCGGGACTGACGAGCGGGCTCAGGACGGGAATAGCGGGAAATTACGTCACAGAAGAGAGGCGTCAGCGCCGCGACAAACGATGCCGGTACATAGGTATATTGCTTTTGCAGCGAGAGGGTTGTGGGAGAGGGTTCCCTCCCCGGCTCCAATGAACGAGATGATTCCGTGGCGTTCCGAACGCGAGCGCGGTCGTCGAGATCGGGGGGCAGCACCGTCGAATGCGCGAATTACCCGAGTTCATTCTCGGATTTATCGTTCGACGCCGCTAATCAGGATACCCCTCTCTGATGCTACCGCTTCGTTGGCACATCTCTCTCCTGGCGTGTCGGTAATTGTCACGGTGTTGTGGATCCGCCATAGAGTGGGAATGTCGGCAAAAACAAGGAAGCAGGAAGTCTGGCTCGCTCAGCGTGATGTGGACTTCGGCTCCTCTAAATTTGACCCCGACAGCTAGCTGTGAAGCGAATAATAAGATCTGGCTTCTGCTGCGAGCCTGACAATTCGATTAAATCAACGACGGCGACAGCAGACGAGAATTTCATTTTCGAAATATTCTTATTATACTTTGGTTGGACGTTGGAGCCGTCTACCTCAACGGGGTTCCTGTCGGGGCGTCACGAATATCGAGGCGATAGTTTCACAACGGGTTGGAGCTCGTCCATTGGTCAAAAGGGACTTCTAGAGTCTGGAGTAGCCCTGAAGCGACTAACTGTTCATTTTCGTTCCTTCACCCAGCCGCTCAGGCTCTCAAAACAGAGCGGTCTGCTGGATCGGTGGAGCTCTCCGTCACGTTTCCCGGCGTTCTCTCGTCTCCCAGGTCCGAGAATAGCAACAACGTCAAGAACTGTTCTCCCACCTTGGTCAAAGTCGTCCGGATAAGCATTCAGGGTTACGTGACGCGCTTGGCGAATGGACACTGAATGCATCAGACTACAGCAAATCGAGGACCGCTCGGCTGTGAACCCGGATTCTCAACGACAACTCCTCTCATGTTGTGATCCTATCAACCGGGAAGCTCGTTCCAGTCCCCAAAGTCGTGAGATGGTTCCCGAAGCCGGCCACGAGACCCACGAGATAATGATGAATGGAAGCAGACAAGTGGAGTATAGAGATATATGCCCATACAACATCGAACGGAGCGTGATTGCCGCCGCGATTCCTGCGGATAAGTCGTCGACAGCCCGCGGATTTGAACGAGGGGAGATAAGCGGGATGGCGCTATCATGTGCTGCACACCTTTTTGTTGCGTTGCTATGACGTTATGATGCAACGGAGCGTCTTTTTCCGAAGGTCTCCCGAGGACGGTTTGTTCTGCATCGATGTTTCCTTGTCTGAACCTCCGGTACCCATGTGGGACACAATGAGCTCGTTTCGCCCCTAACCGTCGATGGAAGGCTTCTCTTTTATCGTTCCCTGATCGGGAAGGCTGATCTGACTGCAATGTCTGTGCCAACGGCGACCGAGTTTTCCGGCAAAAGGCATTCTTGATGGAAATCTTCAATTCCAGAATCAACTACCTATGCAGAATTAGAGGGAAACGAAGAATCGGCCGAGACGATTCATTCGATGAGAAGTTTTGTTTACCGCCGAGCCCGGCGGCGCAAAACTAATGTTTATGGAAACGCGGATGTTAGGCTTCTGCAATCGTAACTGTCGCTGGGAGCAGACTCTGAATACATTATGAGATTCCCGTGGGATCAGAGGTAGAATGAATGCGACCGCGCCGCCGGTGCGTCAATGAGACTTCTTAATGACGACCCACGATAAGCATTGATTCGGAGCTTCTGTACTTGGAAGAGAGAAAAAACAGTCTAGACAATTTCACTTCCACATTCCGAAGTCGTCCCGGAACTTGCCGTTTGAGACTTCCTGGTAAGACTTCAGTGTGTACTTACCCAATCTGAGATGACTTTCTCTCCCCCTCTCAATCTGCCCGTGGAACTCCTGTGGAGGCAGAAGGATTGGGCAGAAAGGAGCTTCCGGAAGTTAGACGCGCCATCGAATCAGAGCTCGCGAAGCAAGGGATCCTGATGAGCCTAAACTTCTTGTTGCTTCACGAAAGTCCCTCATTCAATGGAATCGTCGGTGTTTGTAATTTTCCGCTCGATTAATTTGGACCGTCCAATAAAGTTCGCCCGATCACCTTCAGAAACTTTATTCAAGACGTCGGTCGGTCGAGGGAAATCGAAGCATCATACAAACTCCAAGGACTCCATCCTAGAACTGCGGAGGCAATCCGAAGTTCTCACTTATCGGAAAAGTGAGGATGAATTGATGATGACTCATGTTCCTCCCATATTTGTCGAGTATCATAAACTTTTCCCACGAGCCCGATTTCCAAGCTTTCCGGTGCCCGAATTGCGAATCTGAACTTATCCCTCTACGTTGTGGGAATGATGAAAGATCGCTCGCCGCGCGTAAAGCAAGAGACACGAGCGGGAGGCTCCTCTCCCCGAAATTGATGATTCGAGGCCTTCCAAACTCCGACTCGAAACCCGATGCGATTCTCCTGACAGCTAAAAATACTTTACAGTCACCAATCCTCTGCTATGGGGATTCCCCTCTCAGAGCTGATTTCTTCTACCGCCGGAGTTCATTGAGCTGGAAATCGGAATTCCTCACATCGATCTAGGATTGTCGGCATTATTGGAGTGATCCATGGGAGCAGTCTGTTTTTTCCTGGAGTTTCCAACTCCTCGACATTCGGGTACGCTCCCGCAAGGCTTCTCATTATGTTTCCCGCTCGCGTACCATGTCTGAGCGTCTCTATCAATAACCTCTGTGTCGGTACCAACGAGTCGACGCGACGTTGGCGTTGCCTGCTGATTGGATTGGCTGTCCACACCTACGGATGCTCAGCAAGCTGGCGAGTCGAATTCGGATCGTCGATATCGGCCGATGGCGACTTGGCGATTGCCTAATCACCAAGGAACCTGAAGAAAATTATCACTCGGTACTCTAATCCGTTCCGGCAAATCCCTCGTCCTCGAGGTATCTCTGCGGCTCGTGACGAATCATTTCGCCGGGAATTGCCTCTAAGCGAGATAGCTTGCCTTGAAGAGTGAGTCTCGACTTCAAGCAGCGAAAGACTTACCAAAGCAAGCGATCGACTTGAAATCACACAACGGGCTCCGGAGTATGCATGGAGAATAAAACGGGCTCAATGGATTCTGTGAGCTCTGTGTTGATAGTAGTTAGCCCCGTGATCGGGACTCGAATTCCGATGGCAATTCTAGCTCGTGTTGAATGGAGCACGCGTTTCCTTGACTAGGATTGTCGTTGGCGATCGAAAGTGAGTAGACAGTAGACAGACGTTTCCGACATCCGACATGCTCGTTTCCGCCTAGCGGAAGGAGGCAGATCCCCGCCGACAGAAGACGATTCTTTCTCAGAAAAGACTTCCGAGCGCTACTAAAGAGTCTTCGAGATGTTTTGTATTCTTGAGATGAACCGGAACCCGGGTCCGTCAGCGGGTCGTCTTCGGGCCATCATCCCGTCAGCAGCTCGACAGTGGACCTAAAACTTAGTCCCCTCGTGATGTTCCTCTTCACAGCTGTTCCGCGACGGATTCCCGCTCGAATCCGAGACTGCGATCAGAACACACAAAAATCGCCGTCGACAGTCTTGAAGACTTGATCGGAGAATCCATGCGGACGTCTTGAGGGTCAGCCAGAGGTTTCAAGCTGCTTTGAACGAACGATTCCGCTGGGAAAAGCATTTGGCGAGGGCAGCGAGCTCATGACTTCGGTCCGTAATCCCGAAGTTTAGATTTGACTTTTGATTGGTAGCGAGAGAACGAATAAGCTGGGTTCGCTTGACCGTGACGGGATATTATTGGAGAGCGAGAGACTTTTTGTGGAGCCGATTTCGGCAGGGAGCAGGAGCGCCGAGGAAAATCTCACGTTGATGGATGACGTGACAGTGATTGTGGTCAGTCGCATTTCGGAAGCGGAGCGTTCGCTCTCCCTCTCAGGATCCAGAACGACGGGTTTCGGAA